TATTTGAAGGAATTAGAGGGGTAATCGTCCAAACCAAACGCCACCAAACACATTTAACTTTATTAGTTATTTGATATATATGAATAGATACGTGCATGTGCAGCAAAATGAAATAAATAACATCGTGGTTGGATTTCGTATCTTTTTCCTATAATATTAAGGATAGTGCTTGTATCTCTTCATGGGAGACCTACTTGTCCATCACTTACGATTAATAGAGCATTTATCATCCAAATATCATAATCATAATAATTTATTCTCTTTATCATCATTTAAAAATCATATACGCAAAAAATCATTTAATTTGGAGTTCGTTTAGTCATCTGTATGTGTTAAAACAATCAATGGTTTTGATAACAAGTAGTATTCTCATGACAAACTGCCCATTTATTTGATGCATATGACTAACTAAAAGATCTCCAAGTTGAATAATTGTTTGCATATACTATTTTTAGATGATAATAAAGAGAATGAACAATTCCAATTATGATGTTCATACGATAAAAGTTCGTTAATCGTAAGTAAAGGTGGTCACAAGCATTATCCTAATATTAATCTCAAACATATGTGGTTGTGTTTGGTATGTGGAAATGAGACTTGGGGATGAGAAATTATTTCCTTTCCCATGCTTGGTAAATCCAGATTTTGAGTATGTGTTGTGGGAAAAAAATGTAATGAATGTTGGGAATAAATAAAGGGAAAACCAAACTTATGGAGGATGGAGGGTTTGCTTTTTCCCCTCCTTTCCCAACATTTAGTGCACAGTCACAAACAAGCAACCTTTTTGTTCCGCCAAAACTTGCCCTTTAAAAAACAACACGAAAAAATTATTGCTTATGAATTCGTTTCCGTATACCAAACACATCATGTAAGTGAATAAACTGCAAAAGTGCCAACAAGATAATGGCTAACTAAATGAATCTTTTGTTATTTAATTCCAAACGATCTCATACTCAATTGAAACCAAACTGCACTAAACTGAAAAGAGTATTGTGCCCTTCAATCCCCTTCCCATAATTAACCTAATATTTATGTGAAATTACCAATTTATGCTTTGCACTTAGAGTTTTCTTTGAACAAATGATATTATCTACACTAAAATGAGAGGTGGATTTAGCTTCACAATAGACTAGTAATAATGTAGTTCAAATTCACCTTTAACGAAATTCGAACCTAAGACCTTTTCCGTACAAATAAAGAAAAATACCATATTAGACCATCTCCAATGGTTGAGCTAAAAGCTAAATTTTTTAGCCCGGAAAATTTAGCTTTTAGCCCAAAAAATTTTTTTTTGCTCCAATCGTTCTAACCTAAAATTTTAGCCTGGGATTATTAAAAAATGAACTTAGGCTATTTTTTTTTTTGTTAAATTAAATTTAAAAAAAAAAATAGATATGTAGACTATCGTAAATTAATTTTATGAACATTTTTATCTAAAAAAATTTAAATTCCGATAAATATTGGTTAGAGTCCACTCCGATTTCTTGGCTAAATTTTGGGGAGAATTTGACATTGGTTTAGCATTTAGCATTTAGCCCAAAATTTTCCTTTGGGTTGGAGTGGGTTTGGAGGAAATTTTAGGGGCTAATTTGACTTTTAGCCCACCATTGGAGTTGATCTTATAGTATTAAGTGGCACTTAAAATTAAAAATCCTGTAATTTAAGTGATATATTTTATCCTGCACTCGAAATCCTATTTTCGAATCAGACTATTAAAAAATGGAGCACTAGTCACTCCATAAAACCCTAACCACACGTTATGCTTGGTTGAAAGGGATACTACCACATGTAGAGGTTAAGAGAGCTAAAGCAGCTCAATCTCTTTTTACCAAAATGATCTACATATTTGATATCACCTGAAGTATCTGTCGGTGGTCATGTCAAATAAAATACAGGTTACTATTTTTTCATAGAAATAGGAATCTCCTTTTCCAAAATGATCTGCATATCTGATATCACCTGAAGCATTTGTCGGTGGTCATCAATTATACATACATGTGTGTGTGTGTAATAAGAGAAGGAAAATGCTCTCTGTATGTATAGATGCAAGTTAGAATGGGTTTCCGAATTTCGACAGTAATATTTTTGAATCTGAACTCAATATTCGAATATTTTTTGAAAATTTGGAAAGAAAATCAGAATGTATTTAGTAATTCCGATAATTATGAATTTCCAATCCGAATTTTTTAAAGTGTTCCAAACTTGTTTCAAAAAAAAAAATTCCGAAATATTCTGATTTCTTATAGTTATTTACTCATATTATGTATTTTTTTATCAACTTTTATATTTAATATCGTTTGTTAAAAAAAAAAAAATGATAACCATACTACTAAAACATATGAAATTTCAAATTATGTTCTACAATTTCAAAGATTCCTCTGATTCCAAAATTTTCAAAAATTCCAAAGATAAAAATTGTGTTATGATCCGATTCTGAAATTTTGGATCGAAAATTGAAAATGTGGTTTCCGATCCGATCCTTCCGAAAACACCCCTATATGTATTGTTTTGTCAAATGTGAAATATTACCTTGCCTAATGTCATTGTTTAGTCACTTCTCCTGTCATATACAATGTTTGGTCGCCTGTTTTATGTGTGACAAAACTAAAGTCTCTGTTCTTCAACAATTTTTGGATAGCCGAACTTTGTAAACGAATTTGTTCTTGGCTTTCAGGCTTAGCTTTTGCATATCTCCTCACAAAAATTTTTAGCATGCTCCGATGTATGACATGCACCGGAGAATGAAGAGTTCAGATTTTTCTTTTCTTTATTTGGTCAGAAGAGTCTAAAGAATCCAACAGTCTAAATTTCCCGTGTATAGTATGAAAACTCTTTTTGGATTTAAACACCCAATAATTTTCTGTTTGTATGTGTTAGAAAAGTTTGAAAATAATAAGGTGATTTCCCTATTTTTAAGATGAACTTCTTGTTGTGCCAATCAAACAACGTCATGTATATGTCAATTATATATTATAATGAAATTGTATAATTTTTATGAAAATCCACAATAACGATGTACACATGTCATAAAGTTATCCTCTAGCGACCTACTCCCAGAAGAGTCAAACCTACGAGGATCCCTTCCTCTCCACCTTGGCCTTCACATTTTAGGTCTTTGGATGACTTGGGCTTCAGTACTTGGACTCACTGAACACTAATTTTCGATTAGGTCAAACCATTTTTCTTCGGCCCAAGTACGTGAAAATTATGGTCCAAAAAAGTTGATACAGTATTTCTTTAAAGAGTAAAGTGCTGATTTAGTCACTGAATTATTACATTAGTGAAGATTAAATTCTAAATTATTTTTTCAGTAAAATAAGTCTCTAAATTCATTAAAAATTTCTAATTTCATCCCTACTATTATAGGCAAAGCTATTTTATCCAATATTTCGTCAAATTAAGTCACTGAACACATTTTAGAGTGTATACTGTCATTTTCTCGCCTATAAGAGTAAGTCCACCCCTAAAAAATGAGCTGGCCAAAAGTCCATTTAATTCACCCAAATGAATAGTGAATGACTCCAATGAACAGTAATTGGCTAAATGCGTCTTCACTCCTGAAAAATGAACTAGCCGAAAGTCTAATCAATTCATATTAAAATATTATTAATTAATTTATAAAGTAATAATAAAAAATAATTTTAGTTTTAATTTCAGATAGGATTTTTAATCAATCTTTAATCATTATTTTATTTTATTTTTCTGTATTTTTAAACATTTTTAATAATTTTTATTAAGTTAATTAATCTGTACTGTTGGATTTCAAAAAGATTAAAATCCAACAACCCAAAATTAGACACGTGGCCGACGGTAATAATTATGACATTTTCCTTCCTTTTTTTTTTTTTAAGTTTTTTGGCTGAAAAATCTGGACCGTTGATCTAGGAATTGGACGGGCCAAATTTTGCCACATTACTAGCCATTGGTGAAATTCAATTTTTTTTACAGTTGGAAATCCAACAATTCAGAAAACTAGCCGTTGGAAATCCAACGGCCATAACCAAGCCACGTGGCCCATATCCCGCGCCCCTTTAGTGTGCTTGTAGCACGAGCCCGTGACCTATTTCCTTGTCGAGGACGCGAGCCCACATGAGCTTGTTTCCCACTCGCCTAATGCAAAAAAATATTTGTTGTTCGCTGACGTCATATTAGCGTCAACATGACGCCAGATAGGCCGGTTCTTACCTTAGCCCATTTTGGGTTGGCCTATTTTTAGGGGTGGAGTGGATTTTTTTGGGTGCCAGTCTATTTTTTTTAAGTTTTGGGCCAGCCTAAAAGATAGGGCTGGAGTTGTTAGAAGCTCTTAACATTTCATATGGATTGCAAATCTAACGTCTAATTTACCTTCTAAAGTTAACTCTATACACTATTTCTTTATGTAAAATTACCAATCTATCCTCCAATATGTATCACATGCAAGTAACGTGACTTAAATTGACGAAAAACTGAACATTGTAGCTTTGAATCTAATATTAGGGATGTAATGCCACATAGTACTACGGTCTGGTGATATTCCTCTTTACTTGGAAGTGAGAGGTCTTATCTTTGAATCTCATGGATGGCGAAATTGATACCAAATTAAGCTGCCTATTGTGTGATTTAGCGGAACTCCCCCTTCTCTTAGCGTAAAAATATTGATGTACTCCAAAAAAAAATATTAGGGATGCAATTGGCAAATTTTTATAATTAAAGTCTAATTTTTCTGAAAAAAAATAGTTTAGGGACCTAATTTTCACTCAAGTAATAATTCAAGGACTAAATTGACAATTTACCCTTCTTTATATACTCTTACAAATTTTCAATTGATATAGTTATATTTTCTGATCAATGAGAACGGAAGATTCGAGCTTGAATGCAAAAGAGAAGATTCGAGCTTGGATTCAATTGAATGAGATTTATTAAGTTTCAAAGTCTAAAACACATAATTCTGGGATTAACGGTACCTTAACCGGATAAAAAAAGACCTTGTTTCACATATTTAAGATAAATAACTGCAGTAATGAGAGTAGAGAATAATTTTATTGGCTCTGAATTACTTCTACAGATTGAATGATTGAGAAAACTTAGTTTTGAAAAAAATGGTCGACACACTTCACATATATTCCAGTCTGACAGCGTCTCACTAGTTCTAGCTTTGCCGTCCCACACCAAACATGCGTTTCATGACGATGAATTTTCACTGTCCGATACAAGACATATATAATGCTACAGAAACTTTGTGAACTTTCAAATGTGCACACCAGCTGCCTCCGCTGCTTCAACCATTGGCGGCGGCACAGGGTCTTGTAGGTCAACCATTGGCTGTGGCACAGGGTCTTGTAGGTCGGGATTGATAGGAAACATGTGACACTGTGCAAAATCTGCCATTAGTTGGTCCACCAGCACAAGCGCTATTGCAGCTTCCACCATCGGCACAGCTGCACCAATCCACCAAGCAAAACATATGTAAGCAACCGCAAGGATCGTTTTACAGAAAACAAATGTACATAGAGAATGATGCATGAGAGTACATATCATTCACAGACGCACCTCGTGGAACAACACAGGGATCATGGCGACCACGGGCTATTAGTTCCATCTCTTTTTTATCTCTAGTCACTGTATTCTGCTTCTTCTGCACAAATACCACAAAACCACCATGGCAGATTGGTCACTTGATTACAATTTTCTGTTTTGACAATCAATTACATACATATCAAAGAAATACCTAAGTTCGGTTCAAGATTCTCCTATAGATCACAAGTTTGAAATTAAAAAATATCCCTAAGACCAATATCCCATGTTTTGTCATAACTTCTCACTTTCTCTCAGAAAAAGTCTAAGCAATATAAGAGCCAGAGGCGTGAGTGTGCGTGCGTGCATGTGTGTGTGTGTGTGTGTTTGTGAGAGAGAGAGAGAGAGAGAGAGAGGTAGAGGTTCGACTTACTCCAATAGTAGCTGTTGGCTTGAAGGCTATTCTCATGTTTATAATTTCCCCATTGGATAGTCCTCCCTGATTGCCAGCATATACAATCTCAGTGTAAAACAGACGCTCCACAAACATTTTACCAACATACACTCTACATGCAAAAGCAAGTAACTGAAATATAGAAAAAATACCTGTGTCCCACCAGAGCGGTTTGTTCTTGTCCTGATTTTTCCTTGATCATCTAAATAGAATTCATCATTATGTTCACTCCCAGTTAAAAAGGTACCTGTTATGCATACATGAACGGTAAGAACTTACGCAAAATACAGTTGGAAAAAAAAAAAAAAAAAAATCCTTCATAATAGAATTCTCGCAACTGTTCTTCAATCATCAAGTCCAATTTAAGAACTTTGTAGAGAAACGCCACACAAAAGTACCACAAAAAGTTTGTAAATCTTAACCTGCAAATCCACTTCCAATTTCAAATCCCTTTGTTGCAGGTAATGACATTACAGCTTTAGCAAATTCAGCTTCAAGTTTATCAAAGACTGGTGAACCAAGCCCCTGAGATGCAATAAAATGATTGTCAATTCCATATATGACTTGATGAAGATTAAACAAATTACTGAAAGAGCAATATAACTAGGGGAGTGCTAGCAACCATCTCACTTCTACTCATGACACGTGTATTCCAGTAGCACTCTAAACTAAAAGTTTAATTACTTTTTGGTTTACAAACTAAAATTTTAACTATACTAACAAAGGAATAAAAAAAGTGGGATTTTAATATAGTTAAAATTTGAGTTTCGAGTGCCAGTGAAGTACACGTGGCATGAGGAGAAGTGAAAAGGTTGAAATGAAAAGGTTAAGTGAGAAGGTTGCTAGCATTTTTCATATAACTAACTTTGCAGTGGTTAAGGTAAAGAATCTGCCCCCTTAATAAACAGTTGAAGACATGTAGAGAGAGTGAGTTTACAGGTGGGCAATTTTTAACAATGCATGTGACAACACCACCAATAGATTGCCCTTTCACCCTAACAGCATCAATGGCAGCAATCATCTTCTCTGCATATTCAGGATCTGGGCACCTAACGATATTACTCTCTATCTGGCAGTATGTCACACAAGAATAAAAAAATAAAAGTTCAGTGATTAATAAAAGTTAAATGTGAGTCAATAAGTACCTCAAAAATGCACTAATTGAGAGAAAATGAATTAAATACAAAAAGACTGATACTTCTTTTTCTTACTTTGAAATGTCACTAATTCATTTGGATATGAGATTTCTATGACTTGAAACCTAGAATAACACTGGATTCAATTATTAAGTGAAAGGTATTCATAAAGAGAGTATCTCTTTCAATTTGTCGGCTACCGGTCGGAAACCAATTGGGAGACACTTCGTGAAGAGGGATATTTTCTTCCCAGATTTGGGAGTTGACACTTTTGTAGTCAATAACTTGGGATATAGAGCTAGATGTGACAACCACATAAAAAAAAAAATCGTAAACGCTAGTAAGCATAAAAGCCTAAAACATCATGCTACAAATTGAGATACTCAAGTTTATAGAGGTGAGATATTGTTAAATAGAGTGTGCATGGACAAGCCTCCCGGTAATTACTTTGTAGACTACAATAACATTCATAGTTTGTCTGCACTTCACTTATAAAGGAATGAAACAGATTGGAATGTAATGTCTTTTCCTGGACATGCATTCTCAAATATGTATGGAAATCCAAGGAAGTCAGCTACTCTTGAATGGCTTTGCTACAAGAGATTTTAAATTAATATCCATTATCGCACCTGATCAAGTGTCAAATTGTGATGATCAACCAACTCCTCGGGAAGCACAACCTTCTGAACTTGTGAAACATAAGCAAAGACCTGAAATATGACAAACATTAAGGAAAAGTCTTAAAAACTATAACAAGAATTTCAATCAGTAAAAGAATGTGCAGATGATAATCTATGGACACATGATTAAAAAGAGAAGTTCAGAATTTTTTTTATTTTTTTAAATCAACTCGCAGGACAATAATTATCAGAAGCTCCAAACTTCAGTTACTCGTTCTCAATCATTTGAGGACAGGGGCATGAGTGTCATCTATTGACATGGACATGGGGTGCCCAACAAGTCCACTTCCAAAAAAGTAGGCACTCAGACATGCCAATACATGTGCATTTTGTAAATGAAAAAAAAACATCATTTATTGTGCAGGTTTATCATAGAAAATATACAATAGTAACAACCATTTTGCCATTGTCAGATTTTCTAGAAAAAAAAAATCTCAAGGTTTTGATAAGTTTGCAATTTATCTATGCAAATGAAGATATCCAAAGTTTGAAAATTAAAACTAATTATAGCAGGACACATTTGCAACTCACAAGGTAATACCACAATAAAGAGAAAAAAAAATGATTAAATGAACTGGAGTCTTGGGCATAACGATGCAACACATAGTTTACTACATGCACCTCAGTTCCTGAGAAAGCCTTAAGGATTTTCTTGGCAAGGGCTCCAGCAGCAACTCTTCCAATTGTTTCTCTAGCAGAAGATCTACCACCGCCCTTCAATTACAAATTAGCTCAAGATTTTAGTATCTGCAATTCCAAAATACGCTTGTAAACCTTTAATGGTTAAGCTTAAAACCATTACCTGCACTGATCTGATTCCATACTTCTGGTCATAAGTTCGATCTGCATGTGAAGGCCTATATGCTACTGACATTTCATCATAATCCTGAAATTCCAGCGACAGTTATTTCCATGCACCATAAAGAATGTCAATTGATACAAGTGACTGAATTATATAGAGTATAAATGTGATTGTTAATCCATAGTATCCTATATATCACGATTCAGAGGAAATACTCGAAAAATAACAGTAAACTCTTTAACGAGTTCTATTACTCAAAATACAAACTATCTAATCAGTTCCATAGCCCTCATAGTGTGTTCCACAGCCCTCATATCAGTTCCACAGCATGATTAAATAGATTGAAAACTACAAATTCCATACCCAGAATAAAGGAAAACTAATGAAAAGGGCTTGAAAATTTGAGTTTTAATCAAAAGGACAAAAAGGTGTTGTAAGTGAATAGTACCAAGAATGACTTTTTAGAGTAAAAATGTCTTTTTCGTTAAAAGTGAACAGTACCGGGAGTGTTTCATTAAAACTCCCAAAAAATAAAGGTAAAACCACGAGCAAAGAAATATTAGTCTATAAAAGCTCCACCCATTTTCATTCAACTTCATATATATGTCCTCTAGCAATAGATACTTACACGTCCTCTCTGATCAGTATTGGGTACAAGCACAAGAATTGGTGTCCCAGTTGTCACTCCTGTAGTCCATTATAACATCAATTAGAGTATACGCCACTGAAGAGAACTACAAAGGAACCCCTTTAAATAAACATATACACACACATACAAATTCCACAAAGATCAAACCTTCATGAACTCCCGAAAGTATTCGGCATGTGTCAGTTTCCTTCCTAGGAGTAGTAATTCGACTCTGACCTGGCCTCCTGACAACCCATAACAAGTTTGCATTCAAAACAAACAAGAATTCAACAATTTTAGAGCAAGCTTACCATGATTATTGCATGGAATGATCTATACTAATGTCACAATATAAACACCTATTATATCCAAGGAAACTAATTGTGCCAGCATGCAATGATCCCAGACCAAATACCTCACAAACTCTACGATGAAATTGAACATGTAAAAGACATACTAGTAAAATATCCTTAAATTGAACATGAAATAGGCATCAACTCGTTTAAAATGCCATAACACGAGTTAGGTGCATCGTTTAGCTACCCAAGAACTTTACAATGCACATGACAAGGGTGAGCCCCGTATCAAATACCTTCTGTCAAGGTCCCCTTGCAAATCTTCTGCAGAGAGGGGCATACGAGGAGGGCATCCATCAATTACACAACCAACACCACCACCATGAGATTCTCCAAAAGTTGTAACACGAAAATGATTTCCGGTAGTGTTCCCAGCTGCCTGCACCTCTGAAATCCAACACCAAACTTTTCAGAATTGATCCGAAAGTTGTAACTTACTACAATCTCTAACATATCAAAATTCCATTTACTTCAAAGTTTATGTTACAGCAAACCAAAGACCGAATGTTAACATGGGTACTTAGACGTTAGAACTTGGGTAATGATTGGAGAGGCTAATTAAAGTAAAGATGTAGTCTTTAAATTGTAAGATTCATGATTTGTGCACAAAACAAATTCAGTAGCTGCATTTCAGATAACAAAATTCTCGCACATTGCCAATCAGAAAGTGGAAATTAACTCGAAAAATCATAAAGCTTTCTATGTAAAACAACGGTAAGCAATCAAATGAACATCCAACAATCAGAGGGAGAGAGAAAGAGAGAGAAACTAACGGAGTTTGTTGGGGGCTCTCGGGCGGATCACAAATTGAACGGAGGAGGACGCGAGGGTTCGGAGATCAGAGGAGGAGGAGCACAACCCAGAAAAGCCATCGGTCCTTGAAGCTCCTCCGAGGAATGGCTTGGATGCAAGAGAGGAAGCCATTGCAGTTGAACCCACCGAACTCAGCCCACCAACCACCAAAAACAACGACGAGAAGAAAAAGGAGGAAGGAGAAGAAGGCTGAGAAACTAACGGGGGTGATTGTTTTTGATCAAAAATAGGCGTGCTGCTACTCGCACACGCAAATCCATCCACCAACTCGCTTCCACCTACCACCAAATCCCACAACCCGTCATTCTTAAATCGGAACGTTGGTCCGGTAAATCACGGTTGTAATAAAAATGAAGAAAAATTTCGACAAAAATAAAATTTAATTATAATTATATTATGATACTTGATGCCTGAAAATATTAATAAAAAAAAATTCTCTTATTCTTTCATTTTAGGAAAAATACTAAATTATTTTAAATTGTGAAATGTTATTAGCACTTCAAAAATCTCATTCTATACTTCTGACAAGTGTATTTTTTTTTTCATAATATAGAAAGTTTAAAGTGTAGAATTAAAATTTTGAAGTGCTAATAACAATTCTCTTTAAATTTTCTATTTTCTTTGTATTTTGGTCAATTCATTTGCCTTGTTTGGTGGGTTGGTACTTTGTAGCGTACCCTACGAGCTGGGTGGGAGTAGGAGACTGAAGCTGGGTGGGAGTAGGAGACTGAAGCTGTCATGGTGTGCTTGATGTTCTGTATAGTGTACATAAAATGAGTTCTCTGTCAACCGTGATGTTTCTATTTAATAGCACGATGTTATATGGTAAAATTTATACGTGTTATTATTTTATTAGTTGGGGACGTTATGTTGTTGTTAAATCTATTTTTGTGTAAATTCTTTTCTTATACGGAGATTTTACCACGTAACTTCTTGTATGTTTTTTTCCTATCTATTAATCACCTATAATCAGATCATTTACAACTGATTTTACACAAAATTTTGTTGTACAAAAGACATAAAGTGTATGTTACAGTTACTTGCTCCATTTTTCCTTCAATAGATTAAGCTACTTAGTAATACGAAAAATAAACTGACAGAAATAAAAAAAAATACTTTACTTACTTTCTAATTAATTAATACAATTTCGGACTCTTAAAAATGCCCTTATTTTCTTGTGTTTACTTGTTTGGTATATTGATACCTTTGGGGTCGGATTGGGTAGGTGGAGTCAACTGTAAAGGCTAAATTGGCTAAGCAGACAATCCTCCTTCTTCCAGATGTCTGACTTTGCCACATTTAATCCTCTCTCAACTAAAATTCATAGAAACAAAATGAAATTAATCATTTGGAATAAGAAGGATGATTAATTCATAAAATCGGAATAAGATTTCTAACAAACGATAGAATATTCTAAACTAAATTCTTCTAAACTATGAGATGAGGCAGGAGAGTCTTAACCACCAGAACAATCTACCGCTTACAAATCGAATAAAATTTTAATTAAGGAACATCCTTTTTATTGTTTTGGCAAAATGAACAATGAAATCAATAGTGACACGAAGCTATATTGCCTGTATCTTCTTTGACACTACGGAAACAATCACCACAAGGAAAAATGTGGAAAATACAATCCCTACAAGAATTCCGTTACAGCTTTTGCCGGGGCGCGCGTTTTCAGCATCATTTCGTCATACTCGTCTTCAGGATTTGATAACGCAACAACGGCTCCTCCCGCGCCTATTGAAGCTTCACCCTCGTGTACAACAACAGTTCTGATAACTATGTTGAGATCGAATGTCTGGTTATATGAGAAAAAACCAATGGACCCTGAGTAGATTCCTCGTGGACTAGTTTCGATCGAATCAAGAAGTTCCATTGATCTTAATTTTGGTGCACCTGTCATTGAACCGCCTGGAAATGCTGCTCTCACACAGTCAACTGCACTTACATCTGACCGCTTTTTCCCGCGAATTGTGCTCACCATAGTATGGACAGTAGCATATGATTCTACATCCATAAGATGGGGCACATGAACAGAACCGGGCTCACACACACGGCCAAGGTCATTTCTTAGAAGATCAACAATCATCAGATTTTCAGCTTGATCCTTTTCACTATAGAGAGAGAGAGAGAGAGATTAGTTCATAGAAAGGGAGAGAAAACCACCTCATTTCTTTCTTGCCGAGTAACTACATACACAGTAGCTGTATATCGAACCATAGATCTTATATCGCCCACCCTCATTCTTAAAAAGGGCGGATGTATCATGAGAAATTGCATTAGTCCGAGCATGGAAAGTGAGAATAAATCTAGCTAATACTAGAAAACTAAGATCCTGATAACAGCTCTTTCCACCGAACCAAATTGTCATCTATTGTACAATAATTATACGCAACAACAATTTTAATCCTGTTGGAAAAAAAAGAGAAATATCTTACCTGTATTGCAGCTTGTAGTTTGCGTTGTTCATCTTCCTCTAGTGTTGCACCACGAGCTATAGTGCCCTTAATGGGCTTTGCTTCTAGTACACCATTTCTATCCAACCGTAGAAACCGCTCTGGGGAAGAACAGCAGACACAAAGCTTTTCCTTTGAAAAATTAAGCCAGGCAGCATATGGTGCCGGATTTTTTTCCCTAAGGTGAAGGTAAAGTCCTAATGAGTCCATTTCCCCAATTCTTTTTCTCATCTGAGTTGTGAGACATAACTCATAGCTTTCACCATCTTTAATGTATTCCAGACACCTGTCGACATCTTTTATATACTGCTCTCTTGATTTATCAACAACAAAACTTCCTTGATACTGAGAAGATCGAAAAGCCTGTAAGGTTGGCTCCTCTCCCTCATTTGTAGCAGAAGCTTTTAACCTGAGAAGCTTTTGTTCTGTATTGTCCAACCATGGTGTCGTGCTTGTGCATTCTTTGTTAATAGACAGTATATAAACATCGTCGGAGCAGTGATCGATAACTACAAGATTATCAGCAAAGAAAAAGCAAGCATCTGGAGTCCTGGATTTGTGGCAGTTAGATGATGCACCACATTCAACTTTAAGGCTATACCTGCATTACACAAAATCAATGAATAACAACCAGCTAATTAAGAGTCACATAAGAGCCATGACAATTAATATTTTCGGCTAGTCAGAAATTCAATCCAAACATAAATATCCAAAAACCAGAAACCAAAAGGGAGAGACGATGACTGCTTATAACTGAACAGCAACCACAATTTGGGATAGCGAAAAGTTAAAGAGATGTCTTCTTTTCAATCAATTTCCCTTTTTGGACTTAACCATAAAAGCAGTTAAAGCATAGGAAAGATGATAAAAACATTGGTAGAGTTTGAACGAGACCAAGTTCTGAGAAAACTTTTCACCACAAGATAAAACAAAAAAAAAAAAGTGAATTCACGCACCGAGGAGTAGTGGATAAGAAGGAAAGGATGGTCCAAGAACATTACATTCAAAATTTCAAATAAACTTAACTGCATACCCCATGTAACCAATATATCCACCATGAAATTCAAATGGAAGGTCCTTCATAATCCTTTTCATCGTACCGAAATGACATGAGCTCCTGAAATACATACCAAGCAATAAATATCACTTTACACTGGGAGACTGAGCAAGGTTACAAAATAAAAAGCAAACTTAATTCCAAATGAACAGAAGAAAGTATATTCTGACATAAGTTTATGATCATTGAGATGATACAGATTCTAAGAATAACACAGAAAAATACAGAAAACTCAATATTTCAAGAAAACACAAATTAAACCAGAAGCTGTAATTTCACTAATACCTTTTTCAAAAAATCAAGAAACCCTTCTTCCAAAAACTGTGTTTCTGTTAGAGCCTTGAGCGTCCTCAACTGATAGAAAACCACTGCCCTTCAAAGTCGTATCACTGAAAAATGCAGTATAGATTACTATAACATGAAAATATTCACATGAGCTTTATTCTATTCTAAAAAACAATTAAGAAAATTCCACAAGAAATCATTATAAACACCAAGGTAGTTAGCTGATGATGTTAAAACTTGAAGCCACATCAGTTAAACAAAAATCCATACGAAAACTAAAAATTTGAATTCCCAAAATCAATACTGAGTCAAACCTTCTATCTGATAATTTATAGGTCAACTGCTTCCAAAGAGTTCCACCTTTTCCTCCCATAAATGAAAACCGTGCTCTTCTCTGAATATTCAAGAAAACAGAGACAATATGTAAGAAATAATGGTTTTACGAGAACTACTCAAAATAAAAGTAAGGTATTATGATAATGTCAAATGCTTCAACTAAACCCTCACAGAGCATCACGAGAGAATTAAAAATCATGCTCATATGAGATGTACTAACATCATCAATCTTAAGATAGGCATAGACATGTCAATCGAAAAATAAACGAACCTTTTCTATCGATGAACTGTCCAACCAAAAGGTATTTTCAGCTTTATGATGTCCAAACAGTGCACAGAATATATTTTTTGCTCCACCAACTTGACCAGCCAAATGCTTAAATCTCTTCCATCTCAACTTTAGATATTTAACACCAATGCCTGGATGCAAAAGGTTTACCATATTGACCGCACCAGAAGAACTTGTGTTACTTTCACTGTTCTTCCTTCTAGAAATCTTGTTATATAGCTGACCATCTGAATTACTTACTAGTTGCCTATGTCTAGGAACTTCTGTGAGGAGTCGACTAGCATTGGGCATCTGCATGCACGCTAAAAGAAGTTTACTGGTCAGTTGAAACCAGAGGGAGTTTTTTCTAGGAAAATAATAATAATAATAATAATAATCATAAAGCATATAGAACTACAGCCAGACGACATCTCTGGGATCCATACAATGGACACAATATTCAGGTTTGTCAAAAAAAAAAAAAATAAATAAAAATTGATCAAAAATAGCATTCTTAACAACACTCATGAAAGTTTCCGAAATCATCCTTAAAGAATTGGCATGCATAAGAAGGAACGTAATGTCTGCATGTAACTTAGCATGGCACATGCATGTATGCGTGCGAACAAGTGAGACTATATCAGAGGGAGAATATTGATAAATGACGTTCATAAGAAAGATGAACAGATTTTCCAGAAAAAAAACTCTAGCTTACCTGTATAATCAAAATTCCGCTTCTTGATGAATGATGCCCTCGAATTCAGCCAATAGTCCTCTGTGATCTCTCTAAAATTCTTGAATATCTGCCTCCCATGAAAGGTCGCAATACTCTCTGGATGGAACTGTGAGGGTCAATAGCTAAAGTCAGAGAGTATTGCACGTAAAAGCAGATTTGAAATTATTTCAAATACAATGAACATGCAACCCACCTGCAAACCATAATGAGGCCGGGTAGAATGCACAATGCCCATGAGAACCTTTTCGCTCCGCACTTTGCCAGAACAACTGAAAGGCGAAAAACTTCCATTTTTTGGTTTTGTTGGAAAAGATCCCACAGCAAATTCTGAGGGAACATCAGACTTCTGGGTTTCAATAAAAGAAAGTGCATCCCTGGAGTAAGTCCATGCTATAGGAATGAGTTCATCTGGGAGGGATTCAGCATCTACAACAAGTGAATGGTACCGAACCACCTGCAATTAGGTATATTTGTATGGCACATAGTTAAGAATAAGTTCCACCATTATCCTAAAAGTTCATGGTAGCTAAAGTATGCACTTTCTGAAAAGCCACATTAAAACATTACAATTTCAAGAAACAATCTTTGACCTTCTGCAGTTTTAAGTTTTTGGTTTTTCCTGGTGATTGCAGACCTACTATTTTAAATTTCAGAAATGACTAACTTTGGTTCTGCAAAAAAAGATGAGATTTTGCAAGTTTGTCACTTTAGTTAAATATTAATCATTACTCAAATAAATGATTGCAAAATGTCTCGAGTTCTCATGAAAACTTCATCTAAATAAACTTTAAAAGTTAATGTATATGGACAAGCTAATTACCAATCAGCTATTCTTCCCACAAAATGGTTTTAAACATCATACTATACAGAACAGAATCATCTACTTGAAACATTAGAATTCTTAACAACTGCCTACTGTTTAGATGCAAACTGAAAGTGGGACAAGAAACTTGAAATATTTTATTATTTTTCTTAAGAGGATTAACTTTTCGCAAGATATAAAAATTCAAAACAATAGACCAGTGTTATTGACTTTCCTTGAAATATATGACATCTTTTAAGGATACCCCTACAATGCTACAGCAAACTGAATTACAAGGCTGAAGTAAACCAATGATCTTTCAGTAGACAAGTATCTTGCTATTTATTTGGGAACTATTAATTTCAACTTCAAAGTTTAATTAAAGACTGACCTTAAATCCTGAGTTGTGGCCGGAAGGGATATCATTGAAAAGTTTGCACCTGTTGTGCTCAATTTCACTGTATTGAGGAAAAAGAAAGAGTAGAAAGTTAATAGAAGGGAACCTACAGGGAAAGAATAAAATCACTATACCAAAGCTTGAATCCGAATTTTCAATTATAAAGCATATTTCAGATTAGTAATAACAAGATATAATAGAAAAAATGAAAAAATAAGCACCAATGACAACCAAAATCTGGTAAACATATATAACCTTACCTCAACCGTCCATGGACTGGTTCAGATGCGTGGACAACTTTAGCACCATGCACATAACCTAAAGCCTGTTTAATCAAAGCCATTCAGGAGAAAGGTGAGAACCAAACCACATTAACAGACCTATCATTCTTGAGGTGATTGGCTATGCATTCCAATATCATCATTTTATTGAGAAAACCAAGAATCATATGTTGTCGTGTGAAATACACTGCATACCGCATAGATTCTTCTATACAAATAAATATATAAATACGATTATCCACAATTGCTGCACCTGAACAAACCAAATAAATATATGTATATGTTTCTATTATGGGTTTAGGAACATATACAATGTATCAACATCGCAATTCCAAAAATATTCACGACTTACAGTATCTTATCAATGGCTTCTCTTGCATAGCGGGCATGAGCGGTTTTGTCACCGAATTGTTGGGTTTTTTTTTTTTTTTTTTTTTTTTTAATACTTACTAGTCAAAAATTCTATTGGTGGCCTTCAAACTCACTTACTCAATTGATTTATTGTAATCCTCCCTAAAAATCTCATTATGCATGCAACTAGGGAATTTTAACTTAAGCATCTAGTGTCCACTAGAAGAAAAACAAAGTACAAAACCAAAATACCTGATGTCCAAGGCAAACGCCCAAAATAGGGATATCCCAGCATTCAAGCAGCACCTGAAGACATATTCCTGACAGATTCAAATAGTTTCTCGATGAAATAATCATAAAAAGCTATAGAGTTTAAGCCAGAGGGAAAAACGGCTGCAAACAGAACTCCAAGATAAAGAAAAACCAGGAGCGGTGCATATAGATAATCTAAAACATGTTGAAAACTATTGAGAGTGTGAATCCTGTTAGATCTGCAGCATAAAGACTTCGTGTATCTATTTTTGGCCAATATAAAATTCAGAAGTAAAAAACAACACAAAAAGAATATGGTTTCTGAACTATGCATATCTGTGCTTCTAGTCAATACTCAGCCATACATCGTGGCAACAAGAACACAAGTAGCATGGAAAAGATAAATTCACTTGTCAGAAACTCACCTATGTCTGCTGGACATGCTGGCGAACCAGGTCCAGGTGATATAACAACATTGTCAAAAGCATTTTCTTCATACAAGTAATAGCGAATGTCTTTCCATGTCAATTCATCATTCCGCACGACCACAGGAGGCACTGGCACAATTAGAAGCTAAAATGTCAGAGACAACCTTTAGTAGGCTAACATCACATATAATTTTTATTTCCTTCACCAGGTTATAGATGATCCAAACATTTAGCCCTTGGAGATAATGAGTAGACACATGTATGACATACATAATTTAACACATAGAGAGAGAGAAGAGGAGGTTAGAGAAAAACTTACCCCCATTAATGACAGACAGCTCCTGGTATATATTGTATGTGTAGCTGTCATAGTTGTCAATCAGCAATGTCCTCACAAATTCCAGTTTCCGACCAGGTTCCTTGAGATGTTTCCTTCCCATATTGGATCCTTTTAAGCGCTGAGGCATCAAATTGCTAGACATCAACAGCTTTCTAGCATTGTGATTAGATGCTCGAGTACTATCCTTCTTATTGAACTTATCAACCTTCACAAAAGGCTCAGAGTCCACCATATTCTTGTTTGTACATGGCAACCCCTCAACAAAAGTATATCTGAGCTCCGAAGATGACGAACACAAAGTGAAATTCATTTTTGTTACAATGAAGAATGCCAAAATTGTATAACGGTCCAAAACAGAGCTTCTGCAACACAGAAATGCACACAGTTAGATATTCTATTTATAGTAGTTTGGTCTTCATGTCTCTGTCTCTACGCCTATATGAATTTACTACTCTGCTCCAAGATTATTCTTTTTCCAGCATCCCCAACTAAATGGGTTGATAACAATTTGCTCACCCTCGTAATTACTCCACTGAATGCACAACAGTTGTAGTTAATACACCTTCATATGTTTACAACACTTTACTACAATATAACACCTGACATGCCATTTCTGCTCAGCGGCCTTAAGTGGCGATAATCGTTACCACCACATTAATTGTCCTTGGATGAATGTGATTTTTAAATCATCCACTACACAAATCTCGAAATTTAAACTCATCCAACGAAAAATGATGCGGTGGCAATGCTAAAAAAGATGCTCTCTTTAGTAGTGACTGCTAAACCAATGAATCAAATGGGCAAATGGGTTCACTTATACATGGATACTGACACCCAACCGCTAATTAGCTGTTAGAATAATGAAAGATGTAACAAACTAAGTAGCTGACATCTGAAATTAATCATAAAAAGCTAAAGAAGTTATGTTAAATCAATAATCCAATACATAAAAAAATCATTCATTCTGCCTACCAAGAAAATCCCAAAAAGAAAAACATAAACTTGCAGACACAGGAAGAACAAAAGAAGAAAAAGACGATGAGAAGCTAACCTCAGATAGTTACAGAGGGACCTGCAGAGACTTGTGAAGCTTGTTGGGTTGTTTATAACTTATGAGAGAGAGAGAGAGAGAGAGAGAGAGAGGGAATACGCTGGGGTTGGTGATGAAATGGGCCACGGTTGGTGGGGGCGGAGGCTAGAGGAGAGAGAGAGAGAGAAGACGGCTGCCTGTCAGTTGGAAGTTGGAAACGGAAAGGAGGGATGTAGGACCCACGACCACAAACCCGATACAGAAAGACAAAACGGAGTCGAGCCCAGGATGATCAAGATTCATATTGTGGAGGGGGAATCCTGGGCCGCATGCTGCGGGTTGCTCGGTTGGTCCTCTCCTTCCTTCCTGCCTTCCTTCCAGTTGAAGAGTTCCAAAGCCTAAGGGTGGGGTGGGGGCGCAGAACATCGTTTTACTATTTTGTTTGATTTATCAAAAGTTTTATGTTTTTTTAATTATTTTTTCATGATAGGGAATGGACCGTCACTTGTTAATATATTTCTGCACAAGATTTAACATCTAAGATTCTCTTTAAATTTCAACGATGACGTCGGCTGTCCCACTTATTCTAATTTTAATTATATAAGTTGGATTCATGGTTGATTAATTTCATAATTTATCAAACAAAAATGTACAAATATTAATTAAACTCGAGAGAGGAGGAAAATCATGATGATTTTTTTTTTACTTAAAATAGTTTCTGAACTTGGTATAGCGTTATTCTCTGAGATTTGAAATCAATAGAAATGATTTTTGAGTTTGTTCCCATAAATTATCTTGATCATTTCGTGAAAAATCTTCATTAAATATAGATAAAATAACAAAATACCTTCAATTTTTGTAAATCATTTTGGTCCACTTTTTCTTAAATTAAAGGTATTTTTGTAATTTTTCTTATTTAATAGAATTTTACACAGGGACAAAAATGATTGATGGTGGACAAATTCAGGAACCACTTCTATCAATTTCAAATCATATGACTAAACTGAGAAGTTATGTCAATCTTAATGACCATTTTGGCTAAAAGTCAATCATGAGTAAAACTTTCGATGCTTTTGCACTCGATCTTTTTCTTTTTTCAAAGATAAGAAATTTCATTAATTTGGAATCAAATTGTTAACATCAGTTTATGAGGGTGCATTTTTGCTCACCCACATTAACTTTGGTGTATACTCACCATACAACTTATTAGCTGCCATGTGTCCCTTCTTCTAACCCTAGTTAATTGTTAATTAAATATATCATTTTCAATTTTTAAAACTAATTTTAAACATTAAACTTAAAAATAAATAAATAACTCAAACCCTGCCCAAGCCCAGCAGTGTTTCGTTCTCCACCCACGCCAACCATTCAATTGATTCTTCAAAGTTCCACCCACCCACCCAGCCAATCTTCTTCTTCGGGTGCATGGCGAATTTGCCATGACTTCGTCCTCCGCCCTCCCTCCTTTTTCTTCCACTGTAACAACAGCTGGAGACCACCACGAAGGCTGCGCCTTTGCAGCCATGAAATTCGATAGCAACCTCACCTAAAGAATCAACCTTTTCTATTTCTTTGCGAGGATATTTCTGTGCACGTAAGATTTGATTTTCCAATTTGGGATTATTTTCTTGGCGAGGACATTTGTTGGGTTTCTTTATAAACTAAAATAAAATTAGAGTTCCAGTGTAAGAAGGAGAACGGAGATATGGTGATTCACCATGGCACGAAGAAGATTGGCTGGGTGGGGGTAGACTTTGAAGAATCAATTAAAGGGGTGGCGTGGGTGGGTAGTTATTTATGGTGTTTGGCTGGGTGGGGAACTTGAAGGGTTTGAGTTTTTATTTTTAATTTTTAATTTTAATGTTTAAAATTAGTTTTAAAAATTGAAAATGATATATTTAATTAGCAAATAACTAAGGTTAGAAGGATGGACACATGGCACCTAATAAGGTGTATATGCTTACCCATACAACTAGTGCAGATGATAGTTGTTACCAACAATGCCTTAGCACTTGTCAATTGCTACCTCAGGTATGCGTTACACTATGCTTGGGGAAATGCCCTGGTCATCTTCAAAATCTTAATGTGAATGATCATGCAATTCACTACTGCAAACTTGGTTGCTCGGTTGAGCAATGTTCCAAATATGCCAACGGTAATATTGTTTGTGTTAGCTTTAATTTACCAAATAGTGATTAAATTAATAGAGTGCTAACTATACCAAGTGTTTTATCACCTCAGATAAAGAAAAACTTCAAAGGTGTGTGGAACACTGCTCGAACAATCACTGCGCCATACCTCTTCCATGATGCTCCAACAAATGCTTCTCAAACATCAAAGCTCCTATCCCCCTAAAGGGGGCCCCATATCAATGTGGTTCCTCTATTAGCCTATGATTAAATAAAAGTGGGGGTTTTTATACAAAACGACATGAATAATATAAAAGTGGGGGTTTTCGTGTTAAATATATACTAGCCCTTTGGCAACTGAACTTTTTAATGTTAAGTTATATGCTTAGTTTTAGCTATGTCGTATGGAATTCCATTTTTATCTCATTTTGCCCATCCCTCACACCCTCCGTAATTCAAAAGTCATCATTTTATTTCTTGAAACTCAAAATTCGTTCTATTTTTCCTTGTGGACTATCTCTTTTCCTTGAAACTTACAAGTCATCTCCTAAAACATATGTGGGGCCCAACAACAATAAGACTACGCCACATGTACAACAAATTTGATTATAAATATCCATTATGTGTCAAAATTCAACAATAAATAAACTATTAAGTTTAAAAGAAATTGAAAAGATGAAAAAAAAATAAAAAATAAAATGATTAGCCTAGCTCACTCAAATCAAACCCATATAAGAAATTAGGAGATCTAAGGCAATGCAGAGCAAATTTTAAGTTTTATAGAGATGACTTTCAAGTTTTAGTAGGCAAACTGGGATCAAAATCGAGTCCAATGGGGTAAAATGAGCAAATTTTGATTTTTATGGAGTAAAATGACGATTTTTGAGTTACAGAGAGTAAAGAGAGATTAAAATCAAGTTCCATGAAGTGTAGCGAAAAATAAGCCTAAGTTATATATTTTATTTTAAAATAAAAGTATTAAACTAAGCAAATGAAAGTAACCACACACAAAGACCATTTATAATGGTGAGGTTTATTTATTTATTTATTTTTTTTTTTTGAGCAAATGATATTATCTATATTAAGAGGAGGGGATAAGCTTAACCTCACAATGGGCTAGCATAATGTAGTTCAAACCTCTCACTTACACATGATGAGAAATATCATTAGATCATAGTACTAAGTGGCAATGGTGAGGTTAAAACGCAAATTTTAGATTTTAAAGCCCCCTCCCAAAATTTCCTTCAACAATTGTGGCTAAAATTTGGGTTTGGGATATAACCTAAAATTGGGCTAGATTATGGCCAAAAAATAAACCAAGAATAAGTGGGAGCCCCACGAATGCGCATGAACATGCTCGAAAAAATCCCAAGGGTTGCGTTTTGACCTGCGCCACGCCCTTCACGTGAGGACCCCCGACAAGACAATCAGTGTTGGGACCTAGCGGGCTAACGCCTTTCAGACGGCTGCAACTAATGGATCATTGGTTGATCCAACAGTCTAGATTTAAAATTTTAAAATCTAACTTATAAATACAAGAAATCCAGTGGTTGAGATCGAATATGAAAAAAAGCTAATGGTAAAAAAAAAAAAAAAATTAATGATCCAAAATTAAATCCAACACTAAAACAATTTAAAAAAAAATTATTTAAATCAAATTTCACACAAACTCACTTATTTTATTTTTATTTTTAACAAAGAAAAACCAATACTGTAGCACACTTCATCTTAAGTTGTAAATAGTGAGTTTTTCCTATATATGACTAGTTAGTATAACTTTGCCCCTATACAATTAACTTACATGGATTGTCTACCAAAATTAATTCCATTGTGTATATTTAAAGGTGTAGATAGTGAGTTTTTCCTATATATAATTGGTTTGGATTTAGTTTAATCATGTCTAGTACCAATTTTCCTTGCTTCTGGAGGAATATCGACTTCAGTTTAAGTCCGTTCTAAAGTAAATTATTATCAAATTCCTTTTTCTGACCTTAGGACATTCCAACAAACACTAGTTCCCAGATTTTCTTTCGATGTTGTACTCGTCATTTCGATGAGTATAGGCATGAGAGTATGAGTTGTTATACCTTCGACTAGCAGAAATCCCAAAAGCAGTAATCAATTTCTCCTAGGATCAATGAAACCACCTCACTTGACCATTTCCTTACCAATCATCTGAAACCATCTACCCAAGCGGGCTCTAACCTCTAATCATTATACGGTGGCACTACTAATTAACAATACTATCTGATATCCAGGAACTGTCAACCAGTATTCAAGTGGTATGCTAGTATCTGGGAGTGATACCTTTATGCCGGAACGACAGTTCAAAGTTTTAGGGTAGCGAACAATATAAAAATATCATATGTGCGTTATTTAGCGGCACGATTGATAGATTGATTAACAGTCACTATCTGAGCCGAAGAAATTAAAATGTGGAAACTTCAGGGCAAGCCTTGTAGGAAAATAGTACACTCGTAGTTGTTTTAACCACATTACCCATTTAGGTAACCCAAACATTCTTGACCAGTCATCCCTGAGGTCACTTTCACAGACAAACATTAGAATTGGGGCACGAGTTAATTTCCACTATAAGAGCGAATTGAGTAGCTTGAAAGTTGTGAAGACCTATTAGTACATGTCGTAGAGAAAAGAAGTAGTATTGTACGTTCCCGTGACGTATACCTTTGGCGTCATTTCTCAAAATTTTACAAGGGATATCACCAAATGGTGAAGTAAAGTACACCATCAATCATCTTTCTTGTACTACACCAGTTTTTCTTGCGCCTTTTCAAACAATTCCTACATCATTGAGAGAACTTAGTTACAAAAACTTACCGATTAGGAATTTACCCAACCAAACACTTTATCTTAGGGAACCTTAAACCTAGTCATGCAGACGATAGACTGAACCTTAGGATCGTATCTAGATTTTAGCAACTCCATCAGGTGACAATTAAAACTATTAACCCCAACTTTGAATTGATGGTCTACCCGACCAACCTTTAGAGTTCGAGTTTTCTTCCATAGCCTGACAAATTTATAGTAGTCTTACAGATGATTTTCTGACATACTTCAGCAATGAGATAAAATTTTCTAAACACCTACAGTGAGCTTTATACCAAGTTCCCCAAATGTTAGCTTTGTTAGATTAGGTATCTTTTTTGGGAGACGTGATCTTAGCAGACGACATTCTTGTCAAATTCCAAAAAGGTTGCAAATGTAGAAAATTTCATATTCCCACAAATTGTTGTGAAATATGCAATATCCTTGGCCTTGTTGATTTTATCAGCAATTTGTTAGTGACTTTTCAGCAGTGGTGTTTTCCTTCCATGTCGGCCGAGGAAAAT